AAAACTTGGAAATCACTACTAATGGTTGTAATAAAAACAGAATCTAAGACAAAAGAATTCACAAAAAAGGTAATTTATGGGAATCTTGAAATTTGTCTAAGCAAATAATAATAAAAAAAAAACCTTTAATCATAGTTTCTCGTTGACAAAGTGACACATTCATTCATTCATTCAACCAAAAAAAAAAAAGTCAGTAGACAACTTGAACATATGTTTTAAGCTAATGAAACATAGAAGAATCATATTGAAGTCACTTCCATCGTTTTTGGCAGCAACGAATATTTTTTTTCTATGTAATTCTATTGCAATCATAAGTGAAAAAAGGTGCTGGAAAATCACACCAAATTATTGCAAATCTATTCCTTGGTCGGCTTGAAGAAGACAATAATGGAAGAATTTTGGCCAAACCTCTTTTTCTTGTCAACACTCTTAAAAGTTTTGACAACACTCAAATATAAACGTTTTCTCATGTAAATAAAACTAGATGCTTGCCCCGGGCAAATGTCCGAGGGCATCCTCCCATCTAATAAATTAATATGTAAATAATCAAAACTGATTAGGAATAAATTTAGTTTTTGATGAAGATAATTGATTGATCGAAAATTAATTTTTTCGAAAGTCCTAAATAAGTGGAGAAGGAAAATTTCATTCACTGTCAAATTCAAAATTTGAATGAACATGGCCATCTGATCTCTTCGTTAATATTGTAAATATATTTTTGTTTTTAAAAGGGGGTGACACGTGGCAGAATGGTTTATGCAATATGGTGCATTTGGAGCCAAAACCTTTTAATAAGAAATTGCCACATCAGCATCATGTTTTCTGCTTTAATAGGGTAAAAGGGATTACTTGTGAAAAATTCAAACTTAATGTAAAATAGTAACATACAGACAAAAACAGCCCCCTTCAATGAACAAAAGAATCAACATACTCAATATTAATAAGTTAGAAAAAGGTAGCAGCTGACGGTCAGAAAAAAATTGCCAATAATACGAGTATTCGCACGAGTAGCTATTAAAGTGTAGCATTAATAGTAATATTGAAAATAACTTAATTACATTATTTGATCTTATCAACTTGATTAAACTGATAATTAGTTTATCCAAATCGAATCTGTTTCGATCTTTCATTTTTATGTGACATGAAAAGTTTACAAGCAAGTGTAGGGCTAAATGATGGGGTTATAATCATGAAGCCAATATATAGTCAACAGTGGAGAAAAAGCTCCTTTAAGACTTAATTAGACACCAATATTACAGCTTGATGCCAAAATTTATAATTGAAAACTTAATGTGACGTCTAAACCTATATGATTATGAAAAGATTTTCGATTTGGATCTTTGTTTGGCCACTTCTTAAAGTCCTAAAAAGTTTTCGTCGATTAGGGATTCAGCCGGATCCATATGTAATCATGCTAATAAGCAGCCAAGCACATGGGTTTTTGTTTATTTATGCGCCATAATCCGTCTAACTTATATACTAATCATTTTTAACTATTGAAGCGATAAAGTTTCATTTAATTAAATGTGTTAATTGTTATACTATATAAATCTATGTTTTTGCATTATATTTTTGGGACAAGTGATCTGATCTCGATGCGATGATACACAATTACTATAACAAATGATGTATGGTATCTTTTGAAATATTTCCCCCGGTCCTTGTTATAAGACATTTTGATTTGACCTAAATTTTTATGTAGTATATTTTTTCTATTGAAAAAAAATCTTAAAAATAAAATATTTTTAATATTTTTTTTTCAATTCAAATAATATATTGGGTAAAATTTAGGACAAATCGAAATGTTTATAATAAGGACTAGAGGGAGTTGACTCTTGCATTCAATAATTCAACGATAATCCTATATATATATATATTAAAGGAGAGTGGTTTGCAGAAGCTAATTCAGCTTAATTAGACCATTAATAATTTTTAGAGACACGTGTCACCTCCACAGTTGACTTTCATTAAACGGTTAAAGTAATTTGATAATTTCGTTTATCCAGATTTTACTATTTTAATGTTTTACCTTATTTATTTCCGAAAAATTAAATAATGTGATCATTATTTTTTTTAATACAATTTAAAATATTTAAATTTAGAAAATATATATTAGAATCAAATGTTACAAATCTATATTTTTCTCTAATACGATTCATTTAAGCTTCTCTAATACGCTTCTCTTCCTCTATAAATAAGATGAACGTAAAATCGTTCACCAAAGTAAATCTTTTTCTTTTGCCTTTCAAATTCTCTCCTTTGCCTCTTATGCCACCTACCTCTACCGCTGCTGTCATGCCCTCTGTCGTCGCTGCCGCTATCGGAGGTATTAAGCTTGATATCCTACTCTACTTTCTTCTCTTTTGTTTTTTGATTCCTTATTGTTTGAATAAAAACTTTCAACACACAGACATATGTAGGCTAATTTCAACTATTGCATTGATTGATTTAGTTTGACAGTTGCGGCACCGGTGGTGGCTATAGAGAAGGTTCAATTTTTCCCCTCTTAATTTATACACACACGTAATGCGTGGGACAAGTACTAGTTTATGTTAAAAGAGAATGATAATATGAGTTATATGTTAAAAGAGAATAATAATATGAGTTGTAAATGGAAGGACAAACAATATTGGACAAATTATTGTGGGTTTGGCCAAAAACCTAAAAAGGGACAAAATTTGGTGGAGCTCGTTGAAAGTTGAAACTGAGAGGATCATATATGAGACCGTCGTCCTGAGAGGTGTCGATTTGACATTAAAATATCAAGTCTCTAAAGGTGGACATTGATTTCTTACCTACTCGATCTCTTGTCAAATGTTGTACCAATCCATCGACCTCGTCCAATTAGGGTTTTTCCTGCAAAGTTTATTTTTCTTAATCCTTTAAAACGTATTCTTGATTTTTTTTTTTCCCCATTACATGATGACTTATTCTTTTATGAGATGAATTCGTCAGAACTGATCGATTTGCTTCATCACAATAAACTGGACGACTATATAAAACAAGATAGTCTTACTGATGAAACAAATGTTCTCATTTAAAATGTACAATTACTCATATCATGTTCTTTTACTTGTAAGACACTATCAATCTTCAAAATTATTAAGAGATAACCGAAACCTCATAATCTCATGAGGTTAGGGGCATCAAAACTTCAATTGCCCACATCCTTTCATAAATTAGTAACTATTTTCCGCTCCAATCTAACAAATACACAATTCTCTTGCTGCTAATATTTCTTCCTTCATCCTATAGAGTGACTTACGTCCGTATATATGTACTCCTTTTATCCGAATTTTTTTTTTGTCTATTTTTACGTATTAATTATTTCTTTTGTCCCAGAAACTAATTTGTATAGAGTACAAAATTCAAAAGTGATCAATGTGAGCTACTTTTCTTTTTTTGGAACTTGAAGAAATACTTAATTTTAACAAAATAAATTTTTAACCTAAAGCGGGAGAGTACTATTTGAGGTGGCTAGATTTTCGAACATAGTGGAGTATCAGTATCGTTTATAATCTGTCTAAAATGAATCTTATTATGACATAAAAATAATTAAGTTACAGCTCATGTGCAACTTGATTTTAACGTATGTAACACATCATCAGTAATAAATATAGCCATGAGATTTTTTTTAAAAAATTTTACTCTATTTAGTGGATAAATTAGTCAAGAAGTTACATTTTTTCGGTCCAAATGTTGTTTCAAAATGTACCATTTTTTAGGTGATATATAACCGTTGCGGAGAATAATTTCTACATACATGTGTTAGCAACACAACAAATTCTCTGCGTGTACTTAGAAAACTATACATATAAAGCAAAAACCAAGCAACGGTGCAAATGAACCAAAATGTTTAAGAATTATGACACAAAGATATAGTGGGGATCATAGGTGGACCAAATTGGTTCTTTCCTCATTGAGTATTTAGAGTTTAATCCCGCGTTTAAACAGTATAACATATACTCTGAAATGATTGTTTAGTTGAGATTTTCATTTTTAGTAAAAACAATAATTTAGAACAAAATGAGTATTTGCTTTCTGCCTTCTCACTTTGCATAATACGTACATGTAATTGAGTGGAAAGATTGATAGGGATGAGAGATCGCAACAAAAAAGTCAATGTCTATAGTTAAAAATTCTCCCATAATCAGAATTTATGTGTTAAATCTTGTAATTAATCATGAACCAGAAATTCGTAACCAACCATACAAACCAAAGATAACAACAATGTTTTGTCTTTTAATAAAGGAATAAGAAGATAAAATAGTAACTCATTCCAGTAAAATTACTGCTTTGTTGAATAAGTTACTCAAATTGAAGTGAAGACAGAATCAAGAGTTTGAATTGCATAATATATTTGATTTCATTGTATTAAATGAGTAGTCAAAATTTTCCTAAATATGTAACCACAACGAAATCTTTATCTATCATTGAAACTAATCGTCAATGATTGAGGTTAATTACGGGGGACCAGCTCCGAAACTAATTTTCATTCTTCTTATTTATTTTTTTTACTCGTTACATAGTGAAAAAGATAGTCTGCTTATAGCCCGAAACTACTAAAAATTCGTAAAGCATATTATTCAAACACTGACTATAATATTAGGACGTGACCAGACCAAAAAAAAGAAGAAGAAAAGTTTACGCATATATAAGTGATGTTTTCTCCATAATTATTTATTAGGAGAAACAGACACAGAAACGAGAAAAGAAGAGCTCTCTTTGGAATATTTAATTGCAGAAAGCAGCCATTCATTAAAAAAAAATTTAAAAAAAATCAGTAGCGAATGTGTTTATAATCATTCTTTTCTGCTTTTTAAATCCATTGGGCATTATATCCTCAAAAGAAATATTAAGATATTTTCAATTTACTCTTTTTTTTTTTCTTTTTAAATTTCCGTTTTTCTTTTTTTCTTTTTGTTTCCTATTTCCTTTTTTAAGATTTGTTAACTTCTATAAATCTCCTGTCAATCAATTCACACTTACCCAAAAATCATTATTCTTACCGTCCCCCAAACCTTTTGAGCCCTTTTTATTGTTTCTTAAAACCCTCTGTTATATGCTTTCTTAACACTCACTCTCCAAAACTTAAAAAAAAAACACACACACAGTCACACACTGAAACCATGGGAGGAGGATTATTAGACCTTTGTGGTGGCGGAGGAAAATCATGCAAGTCTTCATGGAAGCAAATCACAAAAGGGTTCGACGATTCGGTGTCGAAATCGAAAGTCGGCAAGTTTTTCAAGCTGGAGAACCGGAAGAGCAGCTTTTCCCGGGAGCTCAGGGCCGGGACGGCGACCTTTCTCACCATGGCGTACATCATCAGCGTCAACGCCACCATCCTGTCGGAATCCGGCGGGACTTGCTCCGCCGCAGACTGCACCGTCCCGGCTAACATGACGACGGCGCCGCCGGATTGCATGCTGAAGGCCAACGTCGGTTATGAGAGATGCCTTGCGAAGGTGAAGAGTGACTTGGTTGTGACGACGGCTTTGGCGTCCATGATTGGGTCGTTTGCTATGGGCTTATTGGCTAACCTTCCTTTGGGCTTGGCCCCTGGTATGGGTCCAAATGCTTACTTGGCTTTCACTTTGGTGGGATTTCATGGAACTGGGAAAATCTCCTACCAAACTGGGATGGCTATTGTATTGATCGAAGGCTGTGCATTTCTCCTCATTGCTGTTCTTGGGCTTCGGGCAAAGCTGGCTCGGTTTATCCCACATCCTGTCCGTTTGGCTTGCGCTGCCGGTATTGGGCTTTTCATCGCGTTTGTTGGGTTACAAGGAAGCCAAGGGGTGGGCCTAGTGGGCCCTGATCCAAACACGTTGGTGACGACGGCAGCCTGCTCGAGCGTTGATCCTGTCACCGGAGCATGCACCGGTGGACAAATGAGGAGCCCAACTTTTTGGCTTGGTTTAGTTGGGTTTGTAATCACTAGCTATGGGCTAATGAAGGATGTAAAAGGGAGTATGATTTATGGCATACTTTTTGTCACATTGATTTCTTGGATTAGGGGAACATCTGTCACATTTTTCCCTAACACCCCAATTGGTGACACAAAGTATGAGTATTTCAAGAAAGTGGTTGATTTTCACAACATAAAGTCAATAGTGGGGGCTATTAGTTTTGCAAATTTTAATAGGACTGAGGTTTGGGTAGCTTTAGTGACATTATTGTATGTTGATGTGCTAGCCACAACAGGGACATTGTACACTTTGGCAGAAGTTGGAGGATTCGTCGATGAAAAAGACGAATTCGAAGGGGAATATTTGGCTTACATGGTGGATGCTGGTGCTACCATTGTGGGCTCAGCTCTTGGTGTGACACCAATTGCGACCTACATTGAATCGTCGGCAGGCCTAAGAGAAGGTGGAAGAACCGGGCTAACTGCAATCGTTGTGGGCTTTTACTTTGCATTGTCGTTGTTTTTCACCCCGTTGCTTACTAGCGTGCCGCCATGGGCCATTGGTCCATCACTGGTTATAGTTGGTGTATTGATGGTGAAAGTTGTGAAAGACATTGACTGGAACAATATCAGGGAAGCAGTGCCAGCTTTTGTGACGATGATTCTTATGCCACTTACTTATTCCATCTCCAATGGGATTATTGCTGGTATTGGGTTGTACATTGTGCTTGGGCTGTATGACAAAGTTGTGGGTTGGATCAGGTGGTTCATTAAGATGAGAAGAATGGTGGTGAAAGAACAAAATCAAGTTTCTGCTTCTGCTGCTGCTGCTGTAGAACCAAAGGTTGAGATGGTTTGAAGACCAAAAAACGGGAAAAAAAAAAAAAAAAACTTTTAGTAGATTTTGTATTAGTATTTCTTAGGTGATGCAGAAACCTCCTAGGAAGTTCACAATCTTTGCTTTGTAGATCCGTCATTGTAGTGAGGTGACCTTTCAAGGGTGTTTTTGCATTTTCATTGCCTAATATATGAACTTCAATTACAATTTCTTCGGTCTTTTTCTGGAGATAAACCATGTTATGTTAATGTCTAGTTTTTCTTCCTTCTTTCACTTGTGCAATGGAATAGAATTGTAAGTAAAGGTTCAATAGACTAATGCAATCATGAAGGATCACTACAACACATCCTCTTCCAGAAGTTCCGTTAACAGTTTCATATTAACAACACGCAAAAGTTCGGAGGAGCAATTTGACCTTCGGTTGATGAGACTAAATGCTTAGTGCCTAAATGTTTTTGTTTTTACCAAATAACATAAAGAAAATCACCTAGGAAGAGCGAAGGACATCAATGGTATACAAAGACCTGGATGGATCTTCAGCTTTAAAAAGATAGCTCTCTCCTGCTTGAATACCAATCTCTTGATTGAGCTTTTTCCAGTGAGATACCAAAACATTCACGTCTGATGCTTCATGATATAAGGCTGGCCATAACTTTCCCACCCGATCTTTAAGCACAACAGGCTTGCTTGATTCTGACTTCCTGAATAGAACATCAGGTAGTTTTTCCGGCAGCTCCTATACACAGTTGAAACTGTAAACACGTATTCTACAAACAGTGTTTTTGACAGTTTTTATGCGGAGTTCAAATGGAACCTAGGATATGAAAGACGATTTTGACAATTTCTCTTTTCCCTTTTCAACTAAAAGACATGGTTCTGCAGTTTCTTTTTTCATAGAATTGATTTATTGCTATACGCCTAGTATAAGAAATTTTTGAATGACTGCAACATGTTTGACAATCTGAAAACAAACACGTAAATTAATAAATAAGAGAACCCTATTAAAAGCAATCAGTTCAAATTCTCAATCATAGTGGATCAGATTGCACTACCTTTGATGATAACTGGTGAAACAGTCAAAATCAATAAGAATCCACAGGTTTATCTTACAATTGCAACAAACTTGGCAGAAGGGCCATGTAAGCCTATCATACTCAATCAAACACACGTTTTCATTTATGATTATCTAAGTCTTCTGTTATAGTTTCTTTTCAGGTCTTCCCATCCTGCAAATTTGAGCTGACCATTCTCTGTTTCTATATGCTTTTCTGAAGCATCTAAAGATCCCATATGAGCATGTGGTTCAAACAACTCTTATTCTGTAATCTATTAGGGCTACCCCAATTAACATCTTCCGAGCAATGACTACTACTTTTAACTAGTCCAAACATATATACATGTCCCAACTTCCACATTTACCTCATTTTCTGTTCATGCTCATATTATGTCAGCCACACTGTAATACATAAAGCATCAATGCCCTTATAGCTGCTTGATAAGTTAAATTTATGCAAAACATTCCAGTCTGCAAGGTAATGCTATTATTGTTTCCCTTGTTTTCTTGAAGAATTATTTCAAAATATTTTAAAAAACTCAGTTACAGCTTTCATGGCCATAAATTTACACTTATCTATTGTTACTTTTAATACCATGAAAGTGGCACTCCATTTTAAGAGTGTAGATTTGACATATTGAACAAAGTGAGAAAAGGCTTCATTTATTATAATATACTATGAGATCATGGCAAGTTTCTTCAGGCAAATAATCAAAACAAAAACATTTGGAACAAAAGGAAGACTTACCAGGTAATGTCCACAATCTGTCACAGCCAAACAAGCAAGAGTACAAGATGAGGGCTCACCAATGACCTTCACTTTCTTCTGATTACTCACCCTATCTTGCGATGGGTAAGAGCCTACATATACACACTTGAATTTGTTAAACTAATAAAGCTAGAGATACTTAAGTTGATTACTAAGTTTATGTACAGCCGGAGGCAATCTACACATCAAATGAGATTGGAAATAAGTTTGAAAAGCACCTCTTTTTCTCCTTACATGACCATCTACTTGGTCACTCAACTCTTCTGGCTCTGTTTTCACCTTTTTCTTATTGTTATCTGCTCATAAAGAAAAAATCAATTGTTATACGTGCAAAGTAAGGCCTGTCAGTTGTCAAATTACAGGGGAAATAGTTAAACTGACAAGTAACCACCAAACATCATTATCTTAGTGGGAAAGCATGCAATGGAAAAAGGTCGGGATAGGGATGCGTTCAAAATACAAGGGTAAAGTTTAATGTCCCATGGAAATTTTTTAATCATAGCCAATTTATGTACAAGCATGAATTTTCTATAGATTGTCATCTTCAACTACAAGTATAAACACTATTAAATACTCAACATCTCTACCATATTATATGCACAACACACAGCCTCTGGGGATTCAAGCACATTTGCATATATTCTTTAGGGGGTTGGGGGAGGAAATTGTACATAATAACATTAACACTAAAAGAAACACGATGGTAAAACACTGGCTGTTTTTTGACAATTCAAGACGAACCCCATTTTTACTGGAACAGTAAGGGAAGATAGAATCAAGGAAGATAGAAAGTATGGAGCAATGTCGCAGCAGCAAGGTCGATAGAAGGGCAGAAAGAGAAACTGGGCAATTGGAAGAATGCTCACAGTCATACTCGTATCTTAAAAAGAACATGGAAAGAGAGAAAAATGATGGAACACCAAAAGATGATGGAGGAACCTTGACAGTTTGGCAGCTTATTACTAAAGAAGGTTAGAATTTGAAATAATACTGTAGGACATTATGAAACCAAAGAGTACAAATAACATATGCCAAGATTCTAGACAACTGGTATCAAGGATCATGTTCACTCAAAGTTAAACGTACAATGGAACACAATAGACATTCAAAAGCATGAATACTAGATAAGAATAATATTCTTTACAAAGTAAAGAACCTTGAGCAGAAAGAGGAACTCAACCAACGCCCAGAACCCGGGAAAAGTAAGATAACAGCTGTATGGTAAACAAGGGGAAGGAAAACAAATATGAATAAATGCTAGCAACAAATAATGAAGCATCATAGGACTTGTATGTACCAGTAAATTCCTGCGAAGTGCCTTCATTAGCCTGTGGAGCATTCTGATCATTCCCTAAATTTATAGATTAAATTTATGGGAAAGTAAAATCAATACAAAAACAAGACAAATAAAATTTTAATGGGAAAAGAAAAGAACAAAGGAGCTTTAAATAAGAAAGAGACAGCAACCAACTATAATAATCATTGGCTTCCTTACTTTCATGGACTTCAATACGATTGAAGTTATGAAACTTCCTTGAGCATGATAGCTTTACATTGGTGGCTACGGAATTTCGTGTTCTATAGGAGGTCGATGGTTGGTTAGAAGGCTTCATGTTGGCATCTCCTGATGGTTGGTTGGAAGGCTTCACGTTGGCATCTCTTGAATCTTGAGTTCTTCTTGTGGCTGACGGTTGGTAGTTATATGCAGTATTGACCCCTTCAGAACCCAGGTCTTTATTTATGAGTGAAGGTTGGAATTTTGATCCAGAAGCCATTGGGGAGCTCATATGGAATCTCTTTGTTGCATTCATATTGTTGGTTTCACATGATTTTGGCAGGGCAGCTACATTTTTGCTGAAAGGATTGGTTTTAAATGAAAGCTTTTCACGGCCGCTTCCACCAAAAATATGAACAACGAAGTGTGACCCCTTAATGTAATTAAACACCAAAAAGTCTCTAACGCTTATGTTATGCTCTGAAACAAAAGATTCCCAACCCCTCTGGAAAGCGAGACCGCGACTAGAAGATGACAATGTGACAGTGGATCTCACTCCATGTGTATCCTCCAGCTCGGTTTCTTTACCTACCAACCCTGTCACAGTTGCAGTAACTATGGGAGGTAATATCTGTGGAAAAGAAAAAAAAGTTAAGCAGGAAAAACCAAGTGCAACATATGTATTACTATTATTCATATGCAGTTAATTGACATCATTTCCAAGCTGGATATTTTGGTTAAGTGGTTGCAAGATGCAATATTTGCTTGAAGCGCACAAAAGGCCCATGTTCATTAGATGATGCAGTATCAAAAGTAGAAAAATAAAAAGACCCCATGAGTAAGAAGATGTCCGTAGTTAAGAAAAAAAATATTCTATAAGTAGAATGTAAAATTCCCAATTTACTTATTGCCATCATCGATTTAGCTCAATGTTATTAGCAGGGTTAGTATGCCATATAACTCACATTCATCTAATTTTTTCAAACACTTTGACTCGCTCAGCTAACAGGTTTCATCAAGGAAACAACAAAATCTCACATCAAAAACAGCAGCTAGAGCAAGTAACAAAATTCTGTTGCAGACGCTTCGTATTTAACGGAAAAAGCACATCATCAATGACAATGCTGAGCTCACATCTATCTCTGAGCAATGCATCTATGTTTGGAACACAAAGTCTTAAAAGATCAGGTTACTGGGGACAGAAGTTGCAATTTCTTGCTTAACATTGTAAAATTAAAAAATAACTTAAATAAAGACATAAAACTAAGCAAGCACAAAGAACTGCAGCTGATAAACACATCAATTACTGAAACTCAAAGTCTGTCGGCAGCAACCATCAACATAAGCATGACACATTAGGGCACATGAAACTATGGCTACAAACAAAAAGTTATGGGAACTGAAGGCATGACATAATCAAGAGCACACAGAACTGTAGCTTATGACTGGTAGTTCTGAACTCACGGTTCATATGTAACAACTGCCAACTTGTACCCAGCACATTTATAGAGATGACATAAAACTAGTCTACTATTGTTATGATGATAGTTAAAGGACTTAAGGCGGAATAACCAGATGGGGAAAAAGAAAAGAAAAAAGAAAAGTTGACTGCGGAATGCATGTTAATGATTTTAATCTAAAGGATAAGCCGTGAAAACATTCACACAGCTAAACACCACAGAAGCATAAAGTGCTACAAAACACTGACAGGGAAAGAAAAATATTGAGAAAATCAATGATCAAGGAATCCTTAGTTTAGCCTATTTCATAATATTCAAGGAAGGTGGCAACATGTTACATGACTCAATTTAATTTTTTCCAATCAATCATAGATGCAGGTAACTAATTTGTTATTATTCCAATTTCAGTTGTTCAGGGTTCTTCAAGAAATTCCACCAGTGTTTCAGTAGATTCTCTGCTTGAATAAATTTCTAAAGTTTCCCAAGTTTATTTAACAAAGCTTTATGCTCTTGCAATTAAGTCTAAAAAAGACGTGCATTCTGAAGGAAAGTAAGGGTGAATCTTAAATCTCGAGCGGTTTTGGGGTTTTTAAATTTACTTCTTTAAGAGGTACCATTTTCAGTTGAACAAAAATTCTTGTCACAGAAAACAGGTTGTCTTCCTCAAAGGTTGCATGACATCACTTTGCCATGGCTGTGATGCCTAAGGCGCCCTAAGAATAATTCTTAGAATATCATTTCTTTTCCAGCAATCTTTTCACCATTTTCTTCAATTCTTATGATCAGCTATCTACTACCTAAAGCCGATAGAAATGCCTACTACCTCTCTTATTCAAACTCACACTTGCACTGCAAAGACAGTCAATACAAGTAAACTATGTGCAAGAGTTTTCCAATTTTGAATGTGCACTTTATGGCGAAAAGTATATATAGTAGCTGATATATTTGGGGAAATTACGAGCTGAAAACAATGGGTAAAGTCAAAAAGTGGTGAAGCAAATTGATGCTGGAATTAAGATTCTTGGCTGCAAGGTGAACCATTAAGATTGCAGTGTACGCCACTTTATCAACAAACAAGATTGCAGTTTGTCTAGATCAAAAGAAGCCATTGCACACTAAAGAAATAACGTAAAAGTTTGTTATCTTATATTTCATCTTTGCCATTTGGATAGCTGCCAACAGAAAAATACACCATGCCACATTTTTCTTAGTTCCACAAAGCAAATCACTATTGACACAATCCCTACGAGTTTTCTAACAACAGCCAACAACACTATCAACACTAACTTACTCAACAGAGCCTTAACCAAACTTGTTCTCTTTTTTCCCCCTAGATATTGGATGAAAAAAATGACAATGCTTCTTTCCAAACGTGATCGTCTCCTTCAAAATCAAACATAAAGTAAAATATGTTTCCTTCAACACATCACTTCTATATACAAAACAAAATATTCCAGAAACAACTCCCTCATGAATACAAGAAAAATGATCCAGAAAAGGCGAAAAACAAACACAGATACATAAGGATGCACATATATAGACATAATTAGAACCAGTAAAAAGGGCATTTATTCATACTTGGAAATAGGATTGTATTAAAAAAACTAGATCACATCACATTGAAAGATCCCTTTGCCAAAAGCCAAAACCTGAATACTTGTCAGTGAAATATGTGGTCCAAAACCGGGAAAAACAACGTAAACCCACAAATGAATGCAATTCTCCAATTCGAAGCTAATACTACTCTTTCAAGGTGGGTAAAATCTATTCTTTGGGCCAAAAAAAAAAACAAAAAGAACGCCTAAGTTAAAAAGATCAAAAAAAAAAAAAAAACAGAAGTATAATTCAAACAAAAAATCAAAAGTATAAAACGGACAACTGATCTGGAAGTAGTACCATTACTTTGTTCCAATCTTCCCCAAGCATGATCTTGAAGAACCTTAGCACACTGGGGTACAAATCAGTCTTGTCCCAGTGAAGCAAATGGCAGAGACTGGTGCATTCCGCACAGGCACCGGGTTCCGTAGCTTCCTGATTTCTGCACAACCGAAGCAACAAAATTCAGAAACAAAACAAAAAATAAAAAAGAAAAAAAATAAGAAAATAATCAAGCATTGTTTTGCCTCTCCCCAAAATTTCCCATCAGAAAATAACATTATACTTCCACACACTGAAACACACCGGAAATATTCAATTTTCGAGTAATGTAGACAGCAATCGTGGCGAAAACGTGCATTCTAATCTCGATTAGCACGGGAATTTTTGGGAGAAAAAAATGGCGGCCAACAAGAACTCTGAAAACAAAAAAAAAAGGGGAAGAAAACCTTACTCATCGGAATCCGGTTGACGCGGACGAAGCTCCTTCAGCTTAACCATCGAAACCGAATCGAAATCCGCCGGCCGAAGAACCGGTGATCTTGATCTCTAAAACTAATCGAGTGAAAGATTCAGTAAAAATTTCATGCATCTAGTGGGGGTTAACTACCTTACTTCTCTCAGCTTCAGGGTTTATTAAAAACACAGTCTCATTCCCAGAGGCACGTGCCGAGTTTTATTTTATTTTATTTTTTTATTTTATTTTTCAGAACTTATTTTTATTTTCTGAACTTAATTAACTACTTACGGAAAAACAAAAAGTCAACCCACAAAAAGTTAAAAAACTAGTAAAAAAAATGAGTTTCTGGATTCTCGTAGGGTCCGTGCCTTGCACGAGCTTCCCGCCGTTTTTTATGTCTGTAATTTGGTGGAATTTTTTTGGTTAAATTTGTTCTTGAGAAATTTCAATCGATTTATTTACGGTGGGTAAAACCTTTTACATTTTAAAAATATAAATCTAATGAGTGTGTTAAATGGAGTGACAACATGAAGGTGACGGAGGAAATTTTTGTTGTGATCAAGTACTATATATGAATTTCAATTGTACTTTGTTTAAAATTTTAATCTTATTTTTAGGTACAAATCCCCTCTATATGATCGATACCAAAATAGTTATAATAAATCCATAAAAGGAGAAAATAAAACATAAACTATTTAAGATTGCTTTCGAAAGTGACGGGTGAAATTTAATATACTATAAAACAGATCTTTAAGCTGAAACTTGATTCGTTACAATCCTAAAATCCAAATATTCAACAACATCTTTTTTTTTTCCCTCTTCCTTTGGTGACGATTGCATTTTTAAATTTCAAGACTACAGTGAAATCGGCTTTCACCTCAGAAATCGAGAATGAATAAATCGCTTTACATTGCTTTTAAATTTTATCAACTGTTTGAGAGATTGTTTTGCAATCGCGAAATTTTGAGTTTAAAATTTAAGTTGAAATTGAATAACTACAAAACAATCGTCTTAAATTCTCGCTAAAATTTCTTCATTTTAGATCTCCGAGCTGAAAATGGTGGTGGTTGTATTTCTTTTTTTCTAAATAGATGGTCTCAACAAGAATCAAATCCTCGACTTTTTGATAATAGTCACCCCACATCCTAATCATCTAACCACTCCACCCAATCCTCCCACCCCAGGTGGTGTTTGTATATTTGGATATAAAGACTATATCTAATCGACTCTCAACTCAAAAATCAAGAATGAAAGATTTTGTATTTAAATTTTATCAATCGCTTGCGAGATGGTTTTATAATTGCAAGATTTTGAGTTTAATTACAACTTAACTTGTGATGAAAAAATACAAAATATAATCTTTATAAGTTTTGTGAAATTTTGACCTCACAAAATCACCTCACAAGTAATTGATAGAATTTTAAAGCAATATAAAGCGATTTCTTCATTCTAGATCTCTAACCTCAAAGTCGGTTTGTTACAATTTGCACATAATCTTGCATGGAAATAAATGAACGTCTTTTCACAATCAAAACAACGCAAAAATTAATACTTGTCGAACAAAAAATAAATAAATAAAATGCTGCTAAATAAAAGTTCAAATTTCAAGTAATGCAGAACAAAATCGTGCGAAAAACGTGCATTATATTTTCAATTAGCAAGGGAATATCGGGGTAAAGGAAATACGTCAAAACAAGAGTTTAGGGAGAAATCAACCAAAAAAGAAGAAAGAAAGAAGTCTTTTTAGACAAATCCCTTTTACATAATGAAAAGAAAAAAAAAATCCTTTTAAACAAATCCCCTTTACATAATGAGAACATTATTACACAAAAATGTTACGAGACAGATTTAAAGAAAATGTTTCCCGCCCAAACCTTATAACAACCAACGCAATTTTTTGTGTGTTCTTTATTCGATTGTTTCTGAGTTTCTATCAATTGGTTATCTTTCCTCTCTCGAGAGTTTTTCTCTCCTAATGTTATAGTTATATATATATATATATATATATATATATTCCTTTTGGAAATGTTTGAACTTTGCTGTTTGGCGATACTATTTGGTCTAATTCCCTAATTACGCAGGGATTGAACATTGAAGTGTAGAAGTTGCCAAGAGAAAACACAATATATTTGTTGGATTTTCATTTTACTGAAAATAAGTATTTACGGTTTTGTGTTTTTTTCAATTTTGATTTTATTACTGTAATTTTGAGATTGAAGTTAGGGAAGGCTGGTTTTATCCTTTTTGATCGAGTAAACCCTTTTAGTTTTCAACATTATTCGCAGGAATATTGTTATGAAACGATCATGGCCATCCATAAAATTGCTGTTACCAAGCCCATGGTTAGTACTATATATTCTTACTTCATTACATGAGTTTCGATATATATATATATATATATATTAATCATAAATCTATTTCTGGTTTGGTTTCTTCTTGACTTATTTTTAGAAAAAAATATTAAATTATGTCATTTTTTTATGAAGAAATTTATGCCCTTTAATTTCAATCTCCCTCAATCTCTTGAGGAACTAGGGAGTAACAATGTACTTACAAATAAAACTGATGGTTAGCCTCTCTAAATGCACCCATATTTATATTTTTCTTTTATTATCACTATTTAGTCATGAAAAATTATATTTATTTTTTTATTTTTTTTTAATTTTTTATGGCATAATATATTTTTTTAGTTACATATTATAAGTTGTTGAGTGGAGACTGTGCATTAACCCGGGGTGAGAATTTAGGCCATTAACACTGAATCGAAGTCCGCAAAGTGAAGAACTGATGATATCTTAATCTCTATTTGGATGGAAATTTCAGTAATAAAAATAAAAAGACATAAACTTCGTGGTGTTTATGGACGAGAATTAGAGGAAATCTTATGAAAAATAAGAACATAGCGTCAAGGATTCAAAAACACACTCTCGTTAATATTCAATTGCTGAGTTCTTTTTTTCTTAAATAAAATTCTAAATTATTTCTACTTTTAAAAAAATTCAGCCTCAAATAATAATAATGATGATACCAACAACAATATTATTATTATTATTATTATTATTATTATTATTATTATTATTATTATTATTATTATTATTAAAATCTATATTGGCCTTCCACGACCTTAGCCCGACAATTTTAAAGATTTATAAATTTATAAACTGTTCTTAGAAAATCATAACAATGGCAAATTTTAATCAATTTCTAATTTTCTAGAGTGGCCTGATGAATGATGAGAATGTGTAAAAAAAAAAAAAACAAACCAATTTCTTACTATATAGGAGTAAAATTTTTCTAGATTTTTGTTTAATTACGTCCGTAATTTCATTAGTTTCACCCTCTCTTTGGCACAAATTTCTTCACACTAGTAAATTTAACAAAGCATTTTCTTTTTGGTTCGTTTTTTTTTTTTGGAGGAAAATAGGGAATACAAAATTCCACGAGTGGGGTATTTCTGTTTTCTCCAAAAAAAAAAAAGAAAATCATAAAACAAGTAATTAAAAAATAAGTTCGGGTTGGTCACGTGTTTTGCACGAACCTTTCCCCTCTTTCCATTGCCATCAATGACGTGTTGATCACTACTTGAGTTTGTTTGTTCGTTAAAGCTTAAATACAATTTTGGCTGCCATACACATTGAAATTAATCTTATTTGTCCACGACACACCGTTATGTTTGATTTTCGTTTTCTTCCTTTGATATAACGAATCCTGTCAATGTTCATAATTAACAAATGTCAAATAACTTCGAAATTTCAAGTCTGAAGTAACTGCATGCATGCATGTTCTTTATTCCATACTGAATGCTCTAGGATTTTAGATGAAATTTCACCATACCAAACACTTAAGAACATAGAGACAAAGTGAAACTCTTCACAAATATACATCATAACACTCTACCTGTAAGATAACACTCTTAATGACATAAAATCAAACACTTTGAACAAACTAAAAACGTAATGAACTTCGGTTCTCTGGCTTATGAAGCTTATACGCTTCAGTGAACACAGTGCTTCCTTTCACTTTCTCTTCACCAAAATCCAACTACGACTAATTTTGCCTAAAGACTGGTATCAAAAGCCTTTTTTTTTTTTTAAATTTTTTTTGCAAAATTCGAAACTAAACAAAGGTTTCCACATGGAGGAATTGAAGTTAAAAACTAACTTTAATTGAATGAGAAGGAAAACAAACACAATGACAAGGTGCTAATCTTTCCGATCAATCTCGGAGGAGGGTAAAACACAATAACTTCTTCTTTTCTGCCCCACGCCCAACAGCTCCACTCTCCATTATGAGCCGCCAAAATCAAATGAGGGTAAACTAAAAACCTAACTTTTATTTCCTTCAAATCTTTAGCTTTAACAAGTTTTGATTAAGCTATGCATTTTAGACTTGATGTCTTATCCGTGGTTAAGTTCATTATATTTTTTAACATTTCAAATATCTAACTTGATTTTTTTAACCTAATAAACATTTTATAATATTGATATATTTCATTATTCATAATAAATATATATTTTTATATCATGATGACATCATCCGGTTTTATATTTCAGGCAACAGGATTAAGACCTAGTGATCCCCTACTATCACCGATCTAGTTTCAAATCTGGGTCTGATAACATTGCAAATGAACTTCCGATTTCGCACCCGACCTTCTTACCCCAGACTTATTTAGGCCTTAGAGTAATTTACTACTCACTGTAGTTTGCAGGCTATTATAATATGCATGGCTTTACACATCTCAGTGGGATTCTGTGTGTAACCAAAAGAAAAAAAAAACATGAATGAGATTATACATACTAGCTCCATTTACTTTTATATGTCTATTTAGGGTTTGCACAACTCTTAATAAGTCTTTAAAAGTATATTGTCTTTCTTGTCCCAAATTAAAAGTATTAGAAATATACAAAAATTTGAAATTGAAATGTAAGAAATAGGTAGTTGTCTATGTTATTAAAAGTAGATAGATATAAGTGTAAAATTGAAAAAAATTATATTTAATACTGCATTAGAAATAAGGCGTGATGGCTAAAAAATGTCTTAGGTTCACCCTAATGTGACAAATAAAAAAATTGGATGTAGTAGTACTTATTATTTTGTTCTTTGTTAAGACGGAAGTTTGAACGTGACCGAGTCACAATATTGTTGTTAGTCTCTTTTGACTATTTCATATTGTTCAATAAATGTTCAACTTCTTATCGAGTTTATAACTCCCCAATAAATGTCCGATGAGTCTAAGATGTTACTAATAAGTTATTTCTACAGCTTATTTATAGAACTCACAAATTTAGTTCATACGAATTACTTACATCGAAATCGGCTCCTCTAAATTTTATTTGAACTGAATCTTCATGGATGAAGTTTTCGTTGCTATATTGAAAACGTTTTTTTTTTTTTTTTTTTTTGTTTTCCTTTCATTCGCAAGGAATCCATTTTATTTCCAGTCTTCTCCAAGCATGATTTTGAAGAAATGATGCACGTTGGAAGAACGAATTAGTTTTTTTTTTTTTTTCTTCCCAATTGTGAAGGTGATGTTAGAGATTGGTGCATTCAGTCGTGGCCGGCGCCTGGTAACTTATGATCAGTAGTTTCCTCGTCTCTGCACCATCAAACAAGAAAAAAAAAAAAAAAACTCGTTATTTTCCACCAAAAGTAATTCTTTTATTCATTTGGTGTGCTATATATGTTAGTATAGACGGGACAACATCTTTAATTATTTGTATCAAATATTCATTATTCTCTCTGTCCCAAAAAAAATAGTCTACATTGAGTTTTGAGATTTATATTAGTTTTAGTACAAATTTAAAAATTCAATATAAACTATTCTTCTGGGACAGAAGAAGTATTTTTTTTTCTCCATACGAAGCTAGCAAATAAAAAGAGCAGTCTTTTAATCATCCTTTAGAGGGAGTAAACTCAACCATCAAAAAGTATCCAGAAGTTTGTCCTAAATTAAATCGTCATATGACTGCAGAATTGCTTGAGAGATGAACAAGAAATCAGGCAGTAACATTTCACAGCTAGAGCATTGAAATCCTCGGAATAAGTGCAGAGCATTAAGATCACCAACATAGAAACTTTCTTCATTCCAGATTTCAGGTGTTCAATGGCTTATTCGCGTGGCGTCTGCTCGTGGCGGCGCTGATGCAGTTGGCCGTGGACTACTCCAGCCCGCAGCAGCATGGCTGGATACCGTCGACGGAGGTGGTGAAGAGTAATCGGAAATTCAAAACACTGCTGTAAATTTGCCGGAAAGTTTCGGACATTCGTCGCACAAGCTTCATCGAAAGAGCTAGGTATCAAAATATTTACTTTCCCCTCCAGAAAACAATAATAATTAAAATAAAATGGTTTCATAAATTGAAACTTTGGTAATAATGATACAATTTTCAAAGTAATGCTGTACAAATATCGTTCTTAAAATGTGCATTCTTATCTTGACTCGCACGGAAGTTAATTTGGAAAGAAAAAAAAAATTAAAAATTGGCCAGCGAGAACTGGATTTTTCCGAATCCTTGTTTCACCTCTATTTTCGTACCTCAAAAATTCCCGTGCTAATCAAGATAATAACGCACGTTTTCTGCACGATTTTTCTTTTTTTTTTTTATCTGCATTACTTGGAATTTGAACTCTTTATTAAGTGTTTCATTTTTGTTTGTGGGTTGTTTTGATTGTGAAAAGTCATCATTTTATCAATAATTCTAGAATGAAGAAATGGCTTTACATCGCTTTAAATTTTATCAATAATTCTGCAATTACGAACTTTTACAAAACTTAACAACATTTATTTTGTACTTCTTCCATTTTTTTAATATGTCTTTCTAGAGAATTCATGACAACTAAGAAAATATTAATAAATATAGTTAAAGTACAAAAACACACTTATATAATTTATACATCTGATTACAAAACAATAAAAATTCATTGTAAATACTATTTCATTTCTAATGCAAAGATAATTTTGGTAAAAAGTGGTTAAATGTGCTTCAATTGTTAAAACAATATATATTTTAAAAAATCTGCCAAACCTTAAAATGATATGTAAAAAGGAATGAGTATCTTTGAACAATTTGCGTTAAAATTTAAAATCTTGCAAACAATTGATAAAATTTAAAGCAATGTAAATCAATTTCTTTATCTCGATCCCCAAGAGGAAAGGTGGTTCCGAATAATCCTGAAGTCGAAATATTTAATCAAGGAAAAAGGAAGAACACTTTTCTTTTTCTTTCCTCTCTCTCTTTTCTTTTCTTTTTTTTCTTTTTGGAAAAGAAGGAATGCAAAATTCCACAATCGGGTCTATTTCGGTTTTCTAAAAAAAAATAAGATAAAAGAGAAATTCATAAACAAGAAGTAAAAAGATTAACTTCTGGTAGGTCACGTGTTCTGCACGAATTCCCACTCTTCAATTGCCTGACTACTTGAGTTTGTTCGTTGAAACCTAAAATTAATCTTATTTGTCCGCGACTCAGCGTTATGTTTGATTTTTTCATTTTCTTCTTCTTCATTACTTTTACTAGAAAGCGTTCAAATACAATGGACAAATAGAGATTACGACCACTATAATTATAACTGACTATAAAAATTACTAGCCAGTACATTACAAATAACAAATTAACAATATTTAATTAATGTATCCATTATCACTTGAATCTTAGGAAACCAAGAAAATAAAAAGAGATGAGGTCATGCTCATCATTATTAACCCAAGGTGTAACGTGGGACACACGGAAGTAAAATATGAGATTAATTAATTATTGTTTTCGACAATAGAGACACTATACCTTTTTTCATTAAGAAATAATTTTTCAGTTCTAGTTTTTCAGATTCGGAGCAAATTATGGTAATTGTGAAAATTCAAACTGAATAATATTTTTAGACGAGAGGTGCAAAAAAACAAGAAGAAAGGACTAAAAATTACAAGGCAGTTTCATCACTTGGAGGCTAAGCTTTAACTTCAGATTCAGCAGCAGCCTTAGCAGCTTCCATCATTTTGACAAGGTTGAGGAGTTCTTCAATCTCGGGAAGAGTTCCCTTAATAGCTTCATGATTCTTAAACCTCTCAATCCATTCCACAAGTGCTGGAGAACTGGTTTCATCAAATATTTTCAGGTTTGAAACCGTATGGTGAACCTGAAACCATCCCAAATAGCAACCCAAAGCAATGTCAACGTACCCTATTGTTTCTCCACCAAAAAATCCCTTCCCTTTACTCAATTTCACAAAAGCATCCTCCAATAGTTTTACACCTTCTGATATTTTCTCCATGATTTCATCCTTTGACGACTCTTCTTTTGCTTCCCTCAATTGCCTAAATAATGGGAGCCACTGCCCAAAAGAAACAAATCAAATCACATCACATCAGTAAACAACGCTGTAACATTTGGTGGATACAATTAAATTTTATTTTATTTTGTTGAACTAATAAAGTATAACAAGGTATACTATTTTCTGGAACATATATAAAAGTAATATTGAAGCTTTTGTCAACTAAATTTCAGCGCTACCTTGTCCTCAATATAAGCAGCCCAGAACCGGGCCATTGACCGGTCAAAGGGATCGGAGGGAAGAATGGAGGGACCATCTGGAAAGGCATCATCAATGTATTGTACAATTATGAGTGATTCACAGATGGGCTTATCGCCATGGAAGAAAACTGGGATCTTCTTGTGAATAGGGTTTGATTTCAGAAGGAGTTCACTTTTCGCCATTGTATTCTCCTGGATGAATTCATACTCTATTGACTTGAGGTTGAGGGCAAATTGAACCCGGTTTACGAATGGGCTAGGACGTGAGCCCAGCAGCTTAATATCATGACTTGCTGTTGCTGCCATTTGCTTGAGCAAAGAGTTGAACTTTTCTATTGATAGATGTGTTGTGTTATAAGATTAATCTAATAAGACTCTGATTTATAGAAGGCGTCTTAATCTTTTTCATTTAGGAAAAGTTATACAATAGCTAGCTGAAATTATTGTTATTACCGTCAAGCTTATATTGTGTGTTTTTTTTTCAGTAAAAACAAGTGCAAAATGATATAGTGATAAAGTCATAGTATTTCTAAAGAATGCATTAATTAAACCAAACGTTAGATTAATTAATTGAGAGTTTTCTACTAGTTAGTTACAATGAAAGACTATGTCATCAGTCATATGCTTTCCTATAAGCTTCATTTGTAAGCATGCAACTTGTTTCTTACCCGGGGTAACGGTGATTCGATTAGTAGATAGTTTGTGTATATTATAGACACGAATTGCGCGTAGCTAGACAAGAAAAACAAAAAAGAAAAAAGGAGGAGGCTCGTCTTAAGCTCTTAACTCAAACAACTGAGATTCCTAGCTGAAAATAGACAAAAGTTGAAGCCAAAAAACTGTACTTAGTAAAACTCGAATGTTATGATTGTACTTATTATTTTGTTCCTGTTAATATATTGAGACGGAAGTTTCAACGTAACCTAGTCATAATGTTGTTAATCAATAGCGATTCAAGAAATTATTGTTGCTTTTTATGGGCATCTCATCCCATATAAATGTCCAACCAGTTACATACTACACTTCACCTAATCTTTATTCGTTTTTTAGCTCAGATCCTTGTCAGGATAACAACAATTAGTTTGTCTATACGTATATATAGGGTCAAAGTCCAATTTGGCTAATTATACCTCAGCGCTCCAATATGTTGAAGCTTTTGATGACATTAGGCCTTTTAGAGGGAACTTGCATTCACCAGTGTGCCTCAATTGGGAAAAAAGCCTTTATCCTTAAAAGTTCATTTTCCTTTCTCCTCATTTTATCATCATCTATCTAGTGGCTGATTTTGTTTGTCATTACATAGTACATAGTAGATCGAAATCGGGCCCCTTAAAGTTTATTTGAATTGAATCTTCATGGATCTATATGAAGATTTCACTTAAGTAACTTACTTAATTTGAGTAAATTCTATTGATATCAAGGTTTTCGTTTTTCCACTAGCAAGAAATTCATTAAATTCAACTCACTACGTATCACTTCTATTTTATTTTAAGGCGTGATTTTGAAGAAACGATGCACAGTGAAAGTGGAACAAATTATTTTTTCCCCAGTAGTGAAACCAATGTTAGAGAGATATTGGTGCGTTTTTCAGCAGAGGCCAGTACGTTGCTTCCTCTTCTCCGCACAAAACAAAAACAAAATAAAAATAAAAATATTCCATCCTCTAAAAAAAAAAAGTTCATATTACAATTTATAATTTGTACTGTTTTTTGTACGATTCAGAAACTACAATTGGATTTTATTTTTTTGGGGGAGGACAGAGAGTAGTATTTTTGTCTCAAAATGAAGGTTTTGTTTGTTGCATTATGTTAATACAATAAACAGAAAAAACATTTTTGAAGATAGGGTATTTGTACCTAGCTCAGCGGGGTAACAAAACTAATTAGTTCCATACAGATAGAGTGAACCATGATAATAAAGATCCAATTACATTTCGAAGTAATGTAGATAGAAATCATCCCAAAATCAATGTTCATTCTTGTCTTGATTATCACAGAAATTTGGGTGAATGGGATAAGAAAAATGTATACTCTTAGGAACATGTTCAAAGTATTTCTATTAAATATTTGTTATTAGACATTTGATCATCCAGTACGAAGCTAATTATTTATAAGCAAATAGGTAGAAGTTTTTTTAGCTAGATTAACTAGGTTGTTTATCAAACACGACGTGGAAAAATACACTTGATGTTTTACGTATAGTAATTATTATTGGAAAAGAAAAATAAAAAGTCCCAAACCCTCAAGTTGCCCAACTAGTACTCTTCTGGTTTCTCGTGACTTGCACAACCTTCGCTCATTTACTCTTTTTTTTGCTTGTTAGTTTACTTTTTTTTTTAAACAAGAAGCATCCAGTCGAGATTCTAAATTTTGATAATTAATATACTCCAGTTTTATTACAACCCTAAAGTGTTAGGAATGTCCATATTTCACAAGGATGCCGCAATTAACTCATCCATGACTTGCTTGGGTGATTTATCTCATATTATATAATCTGTAACCTTTGCAGTAGATTTGAGTTTACTTATCGGTCTTTTATAGGTTTTTCGACATTATAGAATAAAAAAAAAGCTAAGAAAAGAAAGAAAAAAGATATCCTAATTCCTTAGCAAATTAATGCAATGAGCCTAATGATTGAGGATCAGCGCCACTAGTGGAAATGAGCAAAGGGATGAAATTGCTTAGTGCATGTTATAAAAAGAGGACTATATCACATTAAATCAGTATTTGTAATGAATCATATGCTTCAATATTAAATTCCATGAATTGAGTAATCAGATTCATAGGAAGTACACATTCATCATTTTCATATTTCCAGCTCCCCGGGTGCAGGAAATAGATAAGTTTATTCATTTATCCTCCTCTCTCGAAAAGTAACATCCGAAAAATCGTAACTGTCGGTGCGAGTAATGGCCGCAGAGATGCCATTCTTCTGGAGGGTCCTCCGCTTATTTTCCTCGGCGTGGAGCCAGAAACGGATGGACAAGTCACCATATCGGACTCAATTCGTCGTCTCTTAAAATCCATGAATTCCTTGGCCGTTCTCTAGCTATATCCTAGTGGACAAATTTGCTCCACCTTCCTTTGCAAAAAAAGGAGTTTATTTGTTGAATAGTACAACGAATCGGACTCTTTTATTTTGTGATGGGAGGATCAGCGCATATATATATTTTTATTACTATTCTTTTTTTTCGAGAAAAAGTTTTTGTGTGTGAAAATTATTACTTTTATTAATATATTAAAATTAAATATCAGTCACGAAGTTTCACTCAATAAATGAATTAAATATTATATATATTTGGGGAATAATATATCTGGTCAATTGAGATGTCATGCACAATCGACAATAATAACTAATATCTTTTACATTTTTTATACTATCTAATAGTTTTGGCTATAAAACATCATATACATTCCATTAGGCTACTATAAGAGATATAAAAATGAAGAAACTAATCAACATTTATTAATTGCTTGGTAAAATTTAGATGAATTTTCATATAGACAATAAAATTACAATCTAAGTTTCCGATTGCTTTTCTTTATTTGGTGTCTGATTGGCGCTCATACCTTGCACGAACTTCGTCTGACAACTGTAACAATTTGTAAGATTGTTATTTGGGAGAAAATTTGGTTCACTTTTTTTTATTTAACAAGTAATAACAGGGAGAAAATATAGTTCACTTTTTTTTATTTAACAAGTAATAACAGGGACAAAATAAGACTCAAGAATCGAGAAAAAATTATTTGCCTCCTGCTGATCAACGATGGCCAGATTTGAATGTTGCTCCACCAGTTGTTCATCCTCTTCAAGATCACCAACAATGTCCCGGTTTGGACGTTGCATCCCGGTTAATCCTTCACTAGACGGTCTACCATGTACGCTTCTGGATGTTGCTCGCAAACATGTGGCAAAAATTAATACATTTAACAGTTTTTTCATTGTTATTATTACTATTATTAGAGAAGAAAACTTAAGTTTCAGTATTATAAAAGTATTGCAATGCAAATACCCTTTTTCATTTCTAGCCCTAGCCTTGCACGACCTTAATTTGCTCATTTTCTCCCATCTTTCTTTTCCCCTTTTTTTGACAAGAAGCGTACAGAATAAAAGTTTCGATTATTTACTCTAGTTATTACTTAATATAATACCATAAGGTACAAAGACCCTTAAAAGTACGTCACAAGGCATCTAAACTCCATATCTTAGAAACAAGTCAAACTCTCGTGCATGGGTCGTCTTTGGTATGTTTAGCTCCGGTCCTGTTATGATTTTCGAGTTTTTGTAGTGGGTCTAAATTAACTCATTTTTGACGTGGTTTCCGACATTGCCGAAAAAAAGGGAAAAAGATATCTCAACTCCTAATTAAGCTCATCCAAAGAGCCACACAATGAACCTAACTGTGGATTGACAAATAACCTTGCTTAATTAAGGATATATATATAAAAAAACTTGTGATGGCACCTAATCATATGGTGATGATCGGCCGGCTCCTCCTCCCCTCATTACTGTCCAGCGACATGTCGCTCAACTTCGTTTCGACCAGCCGGCTCCTCCTCCCCTCATTACTGTCCAGCGACATGTCGCTCAACGTCGTTTTTACCAGCCGGCTCCTCCTTCCCTCATTACTGTCCAGCGACATGTCGCTCAACGTCGTTTCGACCGGCCGGCTCCTCCTCACCTCATTACTGTCCAGCGACATGTCGCTCAATGTCGTTTCGCTTCCTTCTTCGCCGCTTAATTTCTTCAACTTGGTCTTCTTCTGTCGGAATGTCGGACCCTTTTCCCGAAAGGCTTCTCTTCATCAGCGGGTGGCACGGTGCCCCCTTCTTCATCACGCGGCGGTTTTTCGTTAAGGTCGCTATTTAGGGTCTTCACGACAAATTTATATACTCCCTCCGTCCCATAATTATTGTCTAGTTTGGATTTTCATTTCTAATTAAAATTGTGCTAAAAGTGAAATATCAAACTGGACAATAATTTTGGGATAGAAGAAGTATAAAACATGTAATTAACATTCTTTGTTATTATTACTAGTATTAGAGAAGACAATTAAAGTCTCAATACTATAGAAGTCTCGCAAATACTCTTTTTCGTTTCTCGCCCCGGCCTTGCACGACATTCCCTCATTTTCTCCATTTCCTATTTTTCTTTCTTTATTTTGACAAGAAGTCAAGAAGCATATATAATATAAGTTCCGATAATTGACTCCTAGTTGTTATAATACCACAAGGTACAAAGACACCCTTAAAACGTCACGAGGCATCTAAATTTCATTTCTTACAAAGTTGTCCTAAACTCACATA